AGGTTATAGCTCGGAGATAATGAAGGCGATATGTGTTCACGGTAGGGTGAAAGTGATACTTTTTTGCTTCAGTAGCTGAGTGACTGCGGTCATCTTTTTTAAATGTAGCTTAGGAAAATTAGGTAGGAATGTTCTAGAAAATCCGAGATGCTTTTAGCTTAGGACAAAGGAAGTGGTTAGTAAGGGAACATAGGAGTCTGTTCCAAACAGCAAAGTTGTAGTCATCGAAAGGCTGCAGTTATTGAATTGCCTTCGCCTGTGGACTATTTTGGAAAACTAAATAATTTTGCAATACAAACGAAACGTGCATTTTCGTACTCTGTCTACGGTACAATAGTTATGGTACTCTACAATATGATGAAGGAAATGTTTAAGCGTCTGGTCGTCAGACGGGTAGTGGAAGTGCTTGACGCCATCAGAGCTTCTGCTTCGGGCACTATGGTCTCCGGCATCAGAGATCCACGGGGACCTCCTAGCTAACTGTGGAGTAATCTCATCCAGTCCTATGGTGAGGCCCATGTTATTGTTCTTGACATCACAAAAGCGTCCAATCACCTTTGGCATCCAGCCCTCTTATGCAAGCATCCCAGAGAAGTCTTGCAGATGAGCAGCTCGTCGTAATTGACGGTTTCTCCTCTTCATCCCATGTCACCGTGGGCGTTCTTCAGAGATCGGTCTTGGCTGCGACATTGTACTTCCTCCTTTCCTGTACGATTAATCCTATCCACAGCTTTGCTGATGCCAGCACTCTACAAGCGGGAATCCAGATGAACAGGTCGATCTCTGCCGGTGAGTTGGACAACAGAAGACTAGCAGCGACTTCCTCTCTGATTAGAGACCTAGGGGTTATCACTGCCTGTTAACAATTTGATATAGTTTATAACTTGCAAATCACAGTATTGTATCTTATTAAGAAGAATCGTCCTAGCGGTCATCCGGTATAGATGGATGGCCGAGTTCTACCAAAGAGGCATTCATTTTGGCTGATCGGAGTACAGGTGACCGAGGACTTGATCTGGCACGAACACATTTCGTCAATAGAGGCAGTTGCTAAGAAAATGCTAGGCTTTTTGTTTAGGGCTGTACAAGGCCCAGATAAGCTCTAGCCTCGAGCACCGCTCACATGTTTGGGGTGCTGTCACCATGAATGATTGATGCTGCTCATAGGAGAGCTGTCCAACTGATCGATTACCCTTTTTTAACGGAGAGTCTCGGGCCGCCGAGATCTAGCTCTCTTCTGTCAATGGGCTTTGCTCATCAGAGCTCTCTTCCATGATTCCGCCGCACGATCTGCCTGCCAGATGAACCCGCCTGTCTTTGGCATTCCATCCTAACCATGTCGAACTTCGCATTCCGAAGTGACCCATACGATAGCTCTTTTGAATTTACCTCATTACGTTTTTCCTATTCTTACTAACCTTAGGTAGTTCAAAAATCGGATTAACAACACTTCTTTAAGCTACTCACACCAGCCTGCACAGCTGCTTCACTTCGGTTTATACAAAAATATTGGAGAACTTGCTCCAATTCCTTTGAGTTCCTTTTACATGTTTTGTGACTGCGGGCTTTTTTCATGGGCCTTAGAGTTTCTTCGTACTTAACCCGTTCCAAAAAAAGGATTGAACACCGATAATGTTAAGGCCTGTAGCCTGTAGCTCTATTACCTAGTAATGGAAAGGGGCATCAATCGGCAACTAGGCGGTATGTTTTTCGGATACCAGCAAGTATTATTTACTCCTGGAATTTAGTTCGCAAAACTGCGGCAAAGCTTATTAATTCAGTTGATGAGATTCACGCCTTTGATTTTGATATAACAAAGATATCTGATCAGGTGTAGGCTTCTTTCTATACAAGCATCCGTCTATGGACGCCCAGAGGGACTTAGCAGTTTGATAGCTGACTTTCTTCTCACCCGCAAGACATAACGTTCACCGTAATTGTCAGACCCTCCAATTTATCCCAAAATATGAGTTTCCAAGGATTGGTTTCAGCTCTGACACATAGGGTAAGTCCGGGGAAGATGTCCGGACGGGAAAGATGTCCAATTATTTTTGGTACTGATAGCTAGATGGCGTTAGTTTACGCTTAATATGCTTCTGCTAGTGGAGGTCATTGACAGTACGTCCAAAATTGCAGTAAAATTTATTCAAAAAGTAAGTTAAAACCTCTTTATTTGTTTTCACCTTGAGGTGAAAAAGTTTCGATGAAAACTTGTAGCTTTTATGTTTTGTCATGATTAGTATGATTGTTTTATGCATTCTAACCTCTAAACTAAATAGTAGGTAATGCAGAGTCCTTCACTTTTATTCCGATATGGCCATCTCTACCGGTTAAATAAGAACAGATGGCCAAACGCGGTCCGGTATAGATGGCCTTATCATAAATTTTATTTTTCTTTAAATTTTTCATCACCCATAACATCACCTGTTCTAAATCCAATATCCAATGCCAACAATGAAACGGTTGCGTTTGAAGCAATACTGAGTACATCTACAACGCCGTCTGCTGTACCGAAAATGATCTGCGCTAATCAATCAGTACTATCTAATTCTTCCGAAAGAAAAAATACTTCTAGCTGTCAAAGACTAACCACAGGCCAAAGATCAAATTAAACAATCATTAGTACCTTTAGCAACGAGGGTGTGGAAAAACCTTAAAAAGAACTTACACCCTCTAAAACTCTAAAAGAAATTTCACCATACCACAGACATTTGTTGAAGCTAGAAAAAGGACAAAGTAAGTCTGCAATCTTCTGGCTTATAAATGTCATATAGGGTTTAGAAAAGGCTAATAACATTAAAAACATGCCAAAGAAGAGAAGATAAATATTAAAAAAAAGAAAAATTATCAGCCAAATAAGATAACAAGACTGAGAAGATAATGGCAACTAGGAAGCGGAAGGCTGTTCGAAATACTTCAGAAAGCAATGAGGAAGAAGAAGAACCAATGCTCTGCGAATCAGACAATGATACCGAAAAAGAGACAAGACAATTGCGCTGGTTGTTGGGAAAATTATTACTCTACTCAACTTAATGAGGACGTGTTGCAATACATTTGTTTATTTTGGGTTCATGAAAGCTGTACCGAATTTGAACTGTGACCAAAACAAGGGAAGAGAAGAGAAGCAGAAAACTAAAAAAGGAATGCAGTAGACTTCTGGCCATCATTCCCTTACTACCATGGCCGTCTCTCCCAGACATCTGAGGCCGATAAATATACTACCAGCATTTTCCAAGTTATTAGAACTAGCCATGAAACATCAGGTATCTGACTACGTCTTCTCTAATGGTATCACTCCTAAAATCCAATCGGGTTTCAGGAAAAACCACAGCACAACAACAGTTCTGGCTAGCATCATGGATGACTTAATCAGATGTGTAGATTAAGGAAATTTAGCACGCTTAGTGTTACTTGATTATACAAAGGCTTTTGATACTCTGGAACTATCTATTCTTATGAAAAAGCTTATATACTTTGGTTTTTCGGAATCTGCAATTAATTTTGTTATAAGTTATTTCACTGACCGGAGTCAGATGATTGTGATTGGGTCAAGTATCTCGGAGGAGATACCAGCTAAACTTGGGGTACCACAGGGTTCCATTCTGGGACCATTATTGTTCTCAATTTACATTTCTGACTTCCACGAGTACATTGAACACTGCAGTATTCATCACTATGCTGACGACACTCAATTGTACTTTGGTTTTGATATTAAAGATTTAAAAAATGCCGAACATTTGATTAATAATGATTTAATAAATTTATCTCTAAGGTATCTTGTGCCCATAATCTCAAAATTATCCGCAGTTATAATTGGACCAAAAATCAAAAAAAGTCAGGCAAAACCATTACTATCATTGAGCATTTTAGATCAACCGATCACTATAAAAAATGAGTGCAAGAGTTTAGGACTCTGGATTGATTCTGATTTGAGGTTTGAAAAATAAAAGAAACGCACGTATTGACCTTGACCCATAAGGTAATCACAACACAAGCCCCTCCATATCTATCAACCAAATTTATCAGATACTCAGATGTTAATCAACTGAACACAAAGAATAAGCATATCTTGGTTATCCCGAGACATTCAACATCTCTATTTAAAAGGTCGTACGTATATACTGCTATCAAGCTATACAACGCGTTGCCTTCCGAGTTCACTCACTACTGTATAAAGAATTTTAAAAAAAGATCGAAGCATTTTCTCTGATTTCATTGCCCAGTAAGTAGACCATGGCCATGAATAGGGACTCGTTACAGGTTTTTTTCTAACTTTTTTGTTTACATTGGGATTAGAAAATTTACATAAATATTTGTTGGGTTAATTTGAAAAATGCTTTGTAGCGACACTTCGCCTTTTTATACTTTGTATAAATAAAGCTGGATTATTATTATTGTTATTATTATTATTATCGACTTGGGGGTTATCACCACCTGCGGACGCCATATTTTGGGGTCTCGGTATTTGGGCTTTGCCGTTGCGGCTGTCCCAGTATAAAAACAATTACAGAAGCACGCCGTCACCAGTCTCGTAGATATTCCATGGATACACCTCTATATTTTTGGTAAAATAACGTAAAGGTTACTGTTGATATGATGAGCCTCTGGCCTAATATTCCTAGTTACTTGATCCTTTACGATCAGCCAAATTGCTCGAAAGCTGAAATCAGATTAGCGATCCTATCGCTACCTACCCATAACGTGCATTGTCTCCTGTTAGGCTAAGACACGACATTTCCTCGAAACGCAATAACCACGCGGGTACTAATTATCGTTAACATATAAGTGATGGATTTCAGTACCGTCAGCGATTGTTAGATTCTAGAACTCTGAGTAGGCCCTTTGTAACTGCTCCTGCAGTTAGGCAGGCTTCAATTTGAATGGATACGTACATAATTTGTCCGTATATGATTACGAACAGAGAAGCTCGTATATGAAACGCGGAGTCTCCCTTTGTTATAGGAAGGCTTAGCATGTGTTGAGTAATGTTCTAATTATAGTCTAGTACCAAAACGGAAGATAGTAGCATCTCACATAGTATACGACTGGTAGCACAGCGCGACTGTGAATACGGTGGGATCCATCGGTTTTACCGATGGATGGTAACGCCACACCAGCAGTGGCGTATTGTACACATTGGTGCTATGCTACTTTCGTTTAGGTATGAGGCGATGGTCATCGGTTGGTCAACTTGGTAAATTTGAATCACTATTAACCATTTACGAGGCCTCTGAAGTGCTAGTATCACGTCTCTATACGGATGAACAGGCAACTAGGCGAAATAGAATAAAAAAAACATCTGACATTGACTGCTAACTTTCCTTTTGACCATTTTGTCATCTCATCTCGCTTAAAGTAACCTCATACGGCAGTGCGTTTTAATTGGAAGATTGAGGTGAGATTCCTCATTTCCTGCTCACCCCGGAACATGTGCTTCTCGGAACATGCTTTAGAGATATTTTTTACTCACTTGATTGGATGAATAGAGTGGATCATTTGTTGGCTATGCTCACATATTAAGGATTGACAAATTCTGGTTCAAGATTTTACAGGTTTCTGTTGCAGATTTTTAGTAATGCTCCGATAAAAATAGATAATTTTCATAGTACAATAAAATCCGTGCTTGTGAGATGAAATTCTCACTTGACCGCTCCTTTTGACATCTGAGAAGAACCACTTTCCTCACTTGTGCGGTGAGTCACTCAGTTGCAAAAGGGAAGCTGATACTGTATTGATCTAACCTACAAAATATTGACATTTGGTGAATATCGTTATGCTGCGTTGCCGAACGCTCAGCTAACCACTCTACCGAAAGCTGTAGTGACGTTCTGACAACCTCAATTAGATTTACACCTTTATTTTGGTATTTTAAAAAAGTTAGTTTTGCAAGTGAAGTAAGACAGTACAAACAGAGGTATGGCTCTCAAATCAGTAGAAATTTGGGTCAATGGCGTCAAGTAGGTTGACTCTGCACTTCCTAAGCAACGCCGTCATCAGTTCATTAAGGAAAAGCACTATCATTCTCCACATCATGTTTGTGTGATGTGTGAAATATGGCTAATAGGTTAGTAGAATTACTGGGGTTGGGAACGTATAAATATGCTAGATCCAAAAATTTGTGATATACCCCCTTCATTCCTCTATAACCTTCCACCTCCCAAGTTTTTACAATTCGTATTTATTCAGAAACGATCAGGATCCTCTAAAATTTCAAATTATTAATTTTTTTCATTTTTGACCTTTTTCTCCGCCTGCACTGGACTGATTTTCATAAACTGTGAAGCTGTTTCGTTCTAGCCATAGTAGTAACCACGTCTAAAAATTTCATCGAAACCCAAACAGGACTTTCCAAGTTATAGAGGGCGGAGGATTACCTGTCAGGCCGACAGACAGACTGAGAGACCGACGGAAATGAGTGGCATGGCATTTCGCTATGTACATATCCCATATAATATCCAAGAAATGTTATAGCCTAAGCATAACCCATCGATAATTTTTAACTGCCAAGTTCTGTGACCACAATTCGGTGGATTTTGCACATGAACACAACAAAGATAACCGAAAAGCTGCAAGTGAAAATCATTTACACCTGTTGCTAGCACACTTGGGGTATAAGGGAAGAAAATAATGTACCCATTTAAACTGAGTTTTGGTAAAAGGACCGTGCAATAAACTGAACAATCTGAATTAATGTGTGTCTGAGATTATGGTTAGTAGGCAGCCAATTGAAGCCTTACTTTCTTTGGCACTAGCATTTTTTTCCGTATATAAGTGCGATGCATTGTGCAGAACTAATTCCGATTTGACGCAGTTGCCAAGACATTAGGTTCAATGACAGACATCAGCCTGCGATGATACGATTATCAGATAATTTACATAATTTATGCCCATATGCATCGTTTGACACTTTAATCCAGATTGGGGAATCCGCATCAGGAACAGCAGATTCGAATATGATGCACGGACCACTTTCTAATCGCGATTACCTAATCGCTGAACAAAACGTGGCAATATTGCAAATTTGTAGATTCTGTCAAAAAAATTTGAAATGTGTCAGTTTCTATATGTTCAAGAATAGTTATCTATCAGATTTTGGCTAAAATTAAATGGATCTTGACCAACATTCGCTGCATGTACATGAGGAATGTCTCCTTGTAAAATTAGATAATCCAGCTCTTGACCATTGAGTTCTTCTGGATAGGGAGGCAAATCCTCCAGCATATTCACGGCCGTATTTTACTACCACAGCAGTGGCAACAGTTGTAGTTAAAGCATTATCTAATCGACACTGACTACCATAGGCTAATACTGGGAACCTACGTTTCCAAACACCAATTAATGTTTCTACTACATTGCACATGAGCTTCACTATAAAGATTTTCGACAACACTGCCTGGATTTTTTAGAGGTGTCATTAGGTAGACTATCAGCTGGTAACCACTGTCTCCCAAGAGCACCGCGTTCTGAAATTGTCTCCCTTCAATGCGTGTTCTTAGATGGGAAGCATTGAAAATAGTTCAATCTTGGGTAGATTCTGGCCATCGAGCAACAATATCAAATATTTTCAAATCTGGACCAGCAACTATTTGAGTATTTATAAAAAAAAACGACTTTCTATTACGAAAAACTTCTCCATCTTGAGCTCCTGGTGATTGCATCTTTATTTGCGTCCCGTCAATGTATCCAACGACTCGTGGAAATCTACAGATCCTATAGAAGCCATTCTGAACTCTTATTATTTCATCAGCTTCGTTGGGCATTCTGATATATTGATTTGATAAGCCTGCTGTTGCTCTTGACATTTTTGCAATTATACGAGATGCTGTCGTCTGATGCATGCTAATAAAGTCTCCAATACAATTTTAACGTGCATTGAAGGCATAAAATCATAGGTATGTAAGGAGCTGATTAATGGGCGACACACTATTATTCCTGGAAAAACAAACACTTTATAGTGACTGATATCTTGGAAATACCTAATGTGATTCAGATCAACAGCCAGAGGGAAAGGTGTTTAAAGACGTTATTGTCTAAACTTCAATTCTGGCCAAAGAAATTGATTATCGTAATTTATTATTTGGTATATATATATATATACAGGGTGACTTTGAAGTTGAGTCATTAATTTTCAGATAATGATTGTAGAAGGAAGATAAACCAAAATATGTGTGTAAAAATAAAAAAAAATTAAAAAAAAATTTACCTTGTTTTATAAAGTATCCTCCCGACAAGTATTTCAGTGCGGACCTGTATTTGATCGTGAGGTCTTGGAGCACCGGCATGCCGTCACCTGATTCACGAGCCCGTTGTACTACATTAACAAAGGCACGAGGGGTTGGTTGCACTCGATTGGGAAACCGATCCGCATAAACATGTGCCATTTTTTATTTCGTTTGAGCCACGCAACAGACACCACTATTCACTCACGCGTAACCGACTGACACTGACTGTATACAAATGAATAAAATAATTATAAAAACATCGTTCCAAATTCTTTCGCTTTTTTGTTTCCGATGCGATGAACCGATAAGGCGGATTATATCCGTTGTCGCCAAACACGAGCACATAATATTATTATTGAGACAGGGCGGTACTCAAACTTCCAAAGGGCTATAACTTTGTTACTTTAATTTTACCAGAAAAATGGTAAAGGAAAAAAACATTTCTTTTCATCAGATCTACTCACTGTTAAAATAAATGACTCAACTTCGAAGTCACCCTGTATATATATAAATACTTACAAATTGTTATCAAACTCGAGTTGATGATTTTGTTCTACAAATCTGAGGACAGTGTTTTTTTGGGGCCGAAATCTCCTGAAAAACGATAGGTCGTCCATCTCGTTAAACAAATATGTACATTTATGATAGTGTCTTGGAAATCCGAAGTGAATAATATCTAGGATGTCACCATCATCGTCAAGGGAAATCTCATCTTCGATCTGCATTACTTTTGCATAAAAGGACTTTTTCGCAAAGACATCAACCACTCGAAATAAGGTTAGAAGCCCAATCCGTCAATTTTCGGATTAAACTGTCAATATGCTAGGATTACGCCTAAACGCGACTAGCAGGTGTTAAGTGTATCGGTGCATATGACAACGCGGCAATAATCTGGATTAGTCATTAGTCGTACTTTTCAAGGGACGGTGACTATAGGCATTAGGGTCGCCAGTGCTTGTGTGGCGAACGTTAGGATATTCTATGACTCTGCTTGATGGGTGGCACCCGCGGAGCCTCTTACATATTATCATATGCACCCGTACAGGATTTGTCTGGTTCCTGTGACTTAGGCTAAACAGTGCAGTGATTCAAACCATAATAACCACATCTTATTTCAAAAGCGATAGGTATATCAACAAATTAAATATATTCCACTATTATATTCGCTTCCTAAGAGATTATAACTCAGAAACAATTACTGGGGGATATGGTTGCAGTTATTCAAGCAAAAAGACAAGATACAATATTGCACAACACTTCTTATAGTCCACGAAAAAGTCTTCGCATATTTTCAAGCCCAAATTGCGTTCAAAAGTCATTTCAGTAGTTGTATTAAAGAATTTCAAAGAATAGCCAACTGCATCTGTCTCATGCTCACGCATAATATACGTTGAGCGCATGCTTGACTAACAATTCAAAAACAGAGGTTCACAGTAACAACAATGCTTTGGAATTTTGTTAATAGGTGTTTGAAAGCTATTCACCAACCTTGGAAACATTGAAATTTTTTATATTGTTTTTCTTGATTCAAACCTGTATATTTTGCGCTTTTCAAAATATTAATTTGCTTATACAGGGTGATTCACAAGTCGTGACAAAAAATGAAACATTATACACAGGACCGCATTTTAAGGGGTGCCTTATATATGTAACATTTTGTCCTTGAGGGCTTCATTAAAGAGATACGGGGTGTTGAAGTTTAAAAATAAAAAACATTTTTTTAATATCTTCAAAACCGTCAACTGGAATGAACTAAATTTTGGTATGTAGATTTATCTAAGTGTTGTCCACAAAGTCTTTACTTAAACTTAACGTGCATCAGTAGCGGTGATACAGGGGATTAGTGGCATCATTTTTCCATATAAAAATAGTACGCCACTGTTTTTTTTGAAACGTGCAATGTTTCAAATTTTACCTTTCATTTGCTACAAATAATTATTCTTGTGTTTTTTCCTAGAGTGCACTGTTTTCGTAAAAATTAAAATAAAGCAAATATGCAAATATTAAAAATAAGTTATTTGGCGGCTACTGAACTGTTGCTTGGCGTGGAGATTTTTGGCTTTTGGTGATAGAGCTATTAAAACTTTTCTGTTTTGTTTACAACTAAGAAGGTTGAGGTTAGGCCTATAGAACTGTGAAAAAATGTGTCGCGCGCAGCGCTCGTTGAATAAATAAGTATTCACTGTGCTTTTTTAGAAAACAAAATATAAAATAATTCCAGATGCCTCTGCACCTTGTTGGAATAATGTAATAGGTACATGATATAAAACTTGTAGGCAAGATGAGCGAGCTCCGTTTATGTATGACCACGGTATATGAAATTAGAAAAGCGACAGCCAAATCTTGTATGAGACTGGAGCTACGGGTGGCACAAACGAGGAATCAGAATCGATTTCCTGGGACACAGCTGCTCGCTGTATCTGACATCGTACTAATACCACAGTCAATAGAGATTTGAGCATAGCTTTGCCTACGTATTTTGTTCCAACGTTCGAATAGAAAAGAATAAAAAATATGGCTTCCAATATCGTGCTCCTGTCGTCACTGTAAAATATCATTTCCTGTACGATAAATCGATGCGGATGATAACTCTTTGCATTCCGAGTGCGAGATATCAAGTAGTAAGTTGCGCCTGAGCGCATATCCAGTTTTGACGAATAGCCACTTGCCTCAGTTTGTCGGAGTTCAGATCATCAAGGACATGATTTAGAACAAACACGTTTCCTTGTATGCAGAAGTTGCTGGTAAATCTAGGTTATATGTTACCCGTTAAAATGTATCTTTCGCTATCTAAGCTCATTGCTCAGTTGTTATGTACAAGCCCAAGACGAGGAAACGAGTCACTGAGAGAAAGTGGGCGTAGTGCTCTTCGCTGGGGAATCATATGAAATCCCGACAGCTTCTGGTGTTTTTGGCAAACAAGTTTGAAAAATCACCCATTTCTGATAAAATAATAAATTCTTAGGTTCTTTATATCATTCAATTACAAAGTTAATTACTACTTCAGAGACTGATAGACGACGGCAGGGTTTCCACACTCTTACTCCCAAGAATGTCTAGGAGAGCGACTGCTCCATGAGAGCTCAGTAATACAGTGTCTCGAAAAATGAGGGAATCCATAACTGCTAACCTGCTTTCACACATGATGTTATTTGGGAAAAATATTCGACTAACCGGCGAGGATGATAAGAAAAAATAGAATTTTGAGGGCGCTATCGACTGAATCAATTTCCAGCATGGTAGAACTAGAACCAGCTGATTTTCAACCCTTGAACCCACATATGTCTGAGGTACCTTGAAAAGTGACATCTTGTCATTTATTTTGACATAGGGTTTTTGTGAAATTATGTAGAGAAAGAAAATGTCTGGTTGATGAAGTATAAGTAGTAACAAGTGAGAAAGTAGGCTTCAGACAGGAATATTTATGAAACTTGAAAAGCCTTTTACATTTTACATGTTTTATTTTCAGTCATTTAAATTTTATAAAAAAGTATTCTGCAATGCCAAGTAGAAAATACAAATCAAGGCCAGATGTGAGGCACCCTCTATTATGGTAATCATGCATTTTGGAATCTAAGTTTATAGAAACTTTGTTTGTTATATTTCGGTGAACTTTCTACTATATAAATGTTACCACATTTTTCTGGAATGCCTGTATATTTTAAGTATGAAGTGTTGGGACCACGCGCTTATACAGGATGTTTCACAACTTATCCGACACATTTTAACCAACTATATGCACTGTTACGAAAGAACTTGACCTCTCAAAAAAAATGTAATAAAAGTCCGACAGAAATCAAGATAATAAAATAATACAGCTTAGCAATTCACTTATTTATAAAAGCTGTTCAAAATTGTTTCCATGCAAGCTTGGGTGCGTCTAATACAATTTTGGCGCACTAATTCAAATACACCTCCTTCCTGATGTGCCTGAAGGCTCAAATTATCGGCAGCCACTGTGATTCGGTCACGCAAATCTTCAATATTCTGAACTGGAGTACAGTATACCTCGTTTTTCAAGTATCCTCATAAAAAGACGTCCAGAGGATTCAGATCAGTAGACCGTGGAGGCAGAAGGACCGGCAAATCATTCCGAAGAAATTCCGAATACTGGTGACCATCCATCCGAGCTGGAAATGTGAACGATCCGATTAGACATTCGTCGACAATACCTGCCCACACGTTTAAAGAAAACCGATGTTGAAAGTGTGTCTGGACCACTGCGTGAGGGTTCTCTTAGGACCAAACGTGTGCATTATGAAGACTGGTTATCCCATTACGAGTAAAAATAGCTTCATCGGTGGCGGAAATATCAGCTGTAAACGGGCATTTCGAACATTTTATTGCAACAACCACTCACAAAATCTTACTCTTAGGGGGTAGTCTGCAGGTAGCAACGCATGGACTCCCTGGACGTGATAAGGGTACACTTGGGTCTCATGTAATATGCGCCACGCTGTTGCATCTGGCACTTCTGGGACCTGTTGGGCTAACTGCCTTGTGCTTATTTCCTGGTTTTCTGCCACACAAAATACAGATATTTATTTTTCAGTTTATTATTGAAACTTAAGTTTATAACT